TCGCAACACTGGAGAAATATATGATCTGCAACTACTGACTTGACCTGAGGTTATAAAGTTTTTTAACTTGAACTTTTCTATCGTCAACTTCCCTTTATGCAGCAATATACCTTTATCACCTACATGCGGAGTTTATTTATCTCAGTTGACTCGAGACGCAAGAGCATGCTCTACGTATGAACAATTGCTGAGGCGAGGTAAATTACTGACAATCAAGTTGGTGAAACAAGAAAATCAGCAGTCTCGTTTAAAGTCATCATTTCAAAAGTTCTTAGTCGATACAATGACCTTGTCAGCAAATACAATTTACCATTGAGTCAAATGCTGACCGACTTTTTTTTATTGTTAGTGTCCATTATTCTTACACTAAATTGACGACGAATTTTTCCGTTATTTTTTATAATGACAAGGAGCATGTGGCGGGTGTGACCGGTCGGCAGGGGATGCTCACTCCTCCATGTCACGTGATCCCACCTATGATGTTTTGAGGTCCGTGTTTGCTTTGCTCCTATTTTGTTTTGTTTTATGGACTTTTGGTCTTGACTGTTATTTGTTATCTCCGTGTGTTTCTTAAAGACACTAAGGAACATTTTACTAGTAATTTTAATTTTTGTATAATTATATTTTTCGGCATACTTGGAAAATAATGCATCCATGTTTATTTCAAGTACCCGTATCGTTGAACTTGGTGTCAAGGAAGAAGGCTTATTTTTAATCAGTAATCATTAACATTTAGCAAAACGTACTCATAAATATTGTCCTACAATATATAGAATTTTTTTTCCTGTGACAAATATATATAAGAAAACTGGTAAAGTTGGCAAAAAATAGACTACAAATGAGTGAAATGAGTGTACCTATATATACTTAAAGTTTATGTTTTATCAAAATATAACAATTACATTTAGAATAGAATAACAAAGACCAAAATCCAAAGGCTTTAGATTAAAATCTCACAAAGCAATTTGTCAAATAAATGCAAATCACCTTTCATCTTTTAAAGTATGTTTACATTTACGTTGTTGCTTGCTAGTTTCCTGGCTTTTTTGTTACAATGAGCCATACGGTTTTTTTCATTATCTTGGCATCATGGTTGTTTCTGTCAAATGTGAAGCATCATTTTTTTTTCATTTGTCATTTTAATCAGTCCTCCTGTATTTTTAAGCATAATTTCCTTACTGCACAGTGTTTTCCTATAGCATATTTGGTCTCGGACTTATTCCCCTCTGCCGCCACCTTGTAGGGATAAGTTGCTCTTTATACATGCATGACAGAAAAAATATATGCGTGGGAGAAAATACTTAGAAATTTGAAATAATGAATTAAAAGAGATTTAATATCCATTATTACAAATTGAACTTGGTTGAATAATGAAGCGATCTGGGAATGTTGCCCTTCAATATGGCAGGCATGGGGGAAATAACTCTTACTTAAATCACCTCAACGGAAATCCATGTATAAGTAAATATGTATGTGTAACTAAAACTCTACAATAAACATTTCCTGATAACGAAAATAATCACACAAAAAGTACTATACGACTTTATTGATCTAAATATAAAATGAATTACGTTTCTGAGAAATGACAATATTACAAGCACAAAATAATGAATTTTTAAGTGCTCTGGCACTCGCAATTAATGGTCCAATGTGCAATCTTAAAAGTAAACATATATATAAACATAAAATTGTACATCTGTAAAATATATTCTATTACTCTGAAGTCTAGTACAAAATATGCACAGCACTTATATCATATTGAGCGAAACAAAGAAATAAATATAGTAATAATGGCCCCTATCTATCACAACAATCACCCAAACATTTAGGAATACTTCAAGCTTTAAAAGCTAAATATTTTGGGAAACTGTATTCTCATGTGTTCATCACAGACTACCTAATATCTTTCTTATTAAAAACAAACAATAAAAATGGCCTCAAAATGAATGAAATGCGTTCCTTTTTTCATCTTTAGAAGCCGATCACAAACAAAGAGTTGGAATGCTCTAGAACAAATCAAGGTTCTCACAGCACATACTCGCCACAAAAAACTAGCAGTGGATGTTCTGTCATAATAGAATACATGTCTATTGTATGTATGTATATTATTCATGTACAACTTATAAGTAGGATACATAGTCAAGACAGAATATTTAGTATACAGTTCCCAATAACAGAGTAAAAGGAGTAGCTGGTAACCATGACTTTTATAAAAGGGAGACTAATCTTATAACTGTCACCTGTAATCACTTTGTATTATATACATTAATTTTTTCCCCAAGAATCAATCCAGGTTCTGAAATATCAGCAGTTAAGTATTTGATATGTTTCACAAGGTGCCTCACAATTCACAGGTGTGTATATTTACTCTCATTCAGGATTGATAAAGCTAGCATATTTCATTATTTTCAATCATTATATAGATGTAGGGGAAAATAAATCATCAAATCAAATCTCAAATTATTTTTGAAAAATGCAAAAAAAGCATTTTAATTGAAAAATGATCACCAAATATATTTATGCTTTAAAATCAAATCTATAGGCATTAAGCATTTTGAAAAACGCCCATGTTGTATACTTATTATACAATATTTTAGTTCTTCCATCAATTTCAATTGTTATATACTAGCAATGCACAGTCTAAAAAGCTTGTTGTACAGATTACTTTACATTTCAAATCACCCTAATAAGAAGGAGTATAAAAGGCTTTTTTTTTTTTTTAATCAAATGATGATTTAAGAGATACCATACCTGGCCTAGGAGCAGACATCCTTAACCCTAAGTTTCTCAATCAGAAATTAAGTATCTCTATAATCTTTGAGCTATTTTTATGCTAAAACAATGAAGGAGTACAAATTTGTTCTATTTTAGATATTTTTTCTTTCTAATTCAGTCTTATATGAAAAGAAAATGGGGAAAGAAACATCCTACTGTCCATGTCATTTCTTTTATATTTAATATCGGTTGTTTCTGAATTGAGCATTTCTCACAAAAAATACATAAACAGTGATAAAATGTCTGAAAATGAAATATTTTGACTTGCTGACACAAGATCTTCTTTAATAATGATCTTTTTAATTGCCACCTAAAATTATACGACATTAAATAAATCTAACACTTACATAATCACACCACTTTTGTGACAATGTCATATTGTTATACTTTTTATAGGTGAAAATGGGAACTTTGAGGCAATTATGAACAATGTACAATGTGTTTACTAGGGCTGGGATGATACAACTTTTTCTATATCGAAACACATCACGATATTTAAGCCACGATACGATATGTATCACGATATACTTAATTGCTTATAAAAGCTTTTTTGTATTGAAATAAACAAATTATTTCTTTGCAAATAAGAATAATTTATTCAAAATAGTTGTTTATATGTTGTAAAACAAAAATATTTTACTCAAGTAATGTTAATTATTATTTATTTCATATCTTTATTTATATTTTATATATTAAACCCCAAATTTCAAATAAACAAAGAAAAACAGAAGTAAGATTTTTAAGGGCGATATTTCTTCATACGTATATGCGTATCATCCTCACGAATATCACGATATATCGATATATCGTCCCAGCCCTAGTGTTTAGGCCATACCAATTTCTAATATAGTTCGTCGGATTCGCCGCTTCTATTTATTACAAATGCAAATTATAATATTAAAAAAAAAATGTCCGCGCGCGCTTCCAAAAAAATCCGACTACAATTTTTTTCTCGACTTTTTGCACCAAACACACAAGAACTTTGAAACTTGTATGACAGATGCGCGGGATTTATAGTGAGATTGAAGCAGTTTGTGAAGTTTTGCACCATGTCTGTTCAACTGTTCATATGTACCAGGGGTGTGCAATTAGCATCCCCTGACGCCCGGGGCTAACATTTTAGGGGGTCGGGATAGTGGTTTTCTACGAGGAGGTAGCCCGTCGGGCTAGTAAAAAATATAACTACACACGCAATACATGAAAAGCACAACCAGTATTTTAACTCGATTTTGGCTATAAAATTCCCAACCAGTTTATATTTTCTAGACAACATACTCCTACTGTCAATAAATCTCCATAATCTTATCCATTTTGCAGAACTACCTGACTTATTTATTTCCAAAAACGATCGTTTTTTCCTAATCCGAATTACCTCGATTCCTCCGTTTATGGTAAATACATGCAGCTATATCTTTAAATTATTTATGATCACTCAATCAACTGAAAGATAAGTGTTTTGTGACTCACATAAAATATATTTCTTTTGTTTTGAGTGATTGAAGATGAAAACAAAATGAATAAATTTAATTTCATTCTACATGTTCTAAATGAGCTAGGCCTAGTGCAATGATCAGAGAAAGGGAAGATAATTAATTGAAGTTCATTTTAATTTTATTTCATAATAATTTAAACATGACTGAATTTAATATTGAGAATTTAAACTTTGACTTTAAAAAGAATGACCTCAGTACCCTGACTTTTATCAGCAATTAATTTCTTTTTCAACATTATTTTATAGTTTTGTTTTAATTTTTGCCCCTGTATTTGGGCTAGTAACTAATTGCAGCTGCCACTAGCCTGTGGGCTAGTGCTTGATTTTTTTAATTGCACAACACTGTGTACTATAGTTAAAAACAATGGGTACAAAGTTGTTTCATACACAGCAATAGAAATGGAAGCAGAGGAGATGTTTGAAAACATTACATTTATGAAAGTAAAGTCTTTGAAATTTGACACATTTTTACTTATTAAAAAAAATCCCCAAAAAGTTAAGAATAAGTTCATGTGGTATGCAAATGATATCTATCTTTATTTTTTAGGTTCATGCTCTTTGAAATCACACTTTATTAAAAAATATATATATATGTATTAATTATATTCGCTCGCCTCATAATTTTGAAACCCAAAATAAAAAATAATATTTATGAAAAAATTTCGCTCGCTCGCCTCACTTTTTATTTTTGAAAATCCGAAGAACTATTTTACAAATTGGTATGGCCTTACCCAAATGTTTCATATCTAATATGCATATAACTTCATCCTCATTTTCTAAAAATATACAATGCATGAGTGGAAACTGAAACAAAATCAATACTAGTCATTGCAATAAGTTGAGTTTTCTTTCATCTCCATCTTAAGGTTACGTTTTCCTCAGGGTTTTATCAAAGAGTCCAGTTTCTGAAAAAAAGAAAAACAATTTGGTTAAAATTTCTATCAAATGAACATAAATTCAACAAATCAAATGATAATTTTACTTATACAGTTGATCTTCATTATGCCAGAATCAACTGTATTTACAGATGTGAGGAAACTGAGAGAAAAAAAATTGGGGGAAAATAGGATACAAATTTAAAACAATTCATATTGTATCTTCATGATTCCTTCTAGTGATGTCTTAAATCCTGTGTAATATATTGAAATCTGTGGGTTAATTCTGATTTCAAATTAACAATAAATATAAAGGTTTTTTTTAAATGTATAAAGCTGTATGCTAAGTAGACATTCAAAGAAAAAATGAAGGCAAACAACTAAAAGCTGGCAATATAATTTCATTTACATCACACAATAAACTAAAGTAAACAATCTTGTAACAGTCATTTTTATTCCGGAAAACCTTTAAAAACACTACCTTCCCCCAAATTCTAAAATCAATCTTTGTGTAGCTGATGCGTTAAATTCATGTACATGAACAGTAAAACTGGTTTTATGTCTATTTACAGACTAAATAATCAAAAGAAAAAGTCAATACTTTATATTTTAAACTAAATGTTTAGAACACTAGGACAAGATATCAATATCTAATAACAAGTAAATAAATTATTCATTGCTATTACTGAAATTTCATCATTTTAATGCTTTTTTTAAATATTTATGATTGAAAATGAGAAAATTCAAGCACAAATGCAAAAAAAAAACAAAACAAAAATGTCAAATTTACATAAATATACAACATAAAAAAAATATAACAAAATTTAAAAAAAAATGGAATTGTGCAATAACACATTGGCAATCATATAATTCCACTTCATATTTTATTCTTCTAAGATAAATGGGTGTTTATGCATGATTATGAACTGTTATTTCTATACACAATATAATTTCTGTGTTGAACTTTAATCCCTCTATGAAATACACACTTTATTTACAGGCTATTATACATGTATCTGATTCTCTATGGTATGAACTATTGACTTGTAATACTGCTTATGCCATGCTATACCTGTTACTCAATGTCTGGATCAGGCTTAAAATGGGCTGGAAAATTCAAAAACATCCATACAACCAACAAAACAAATTAATTAATCTCAAAGATGAACTATCTGACACATTATAGCATGCTGTGAGATATTGTCACATGGTTTACCCCCCCCCCCCTCCCCACCACCATTCTGTCAAACAATTACCTAGCAACCAGCCTCCTGACCTGTTCAACCTGAATTTACAATTTTATTGTTAACTGCTCTTTCTCTTTTTGTTGTTGAAAAAATATGGGAAAAAAAAGTATGGACAAAATGAAAAAAATAAACAAATTTTACTTAAAATCATAGAGAATCTCAGTCTTTGGGGACAGTTTAGAAGTGCTGTTGCTTTCAGTTCCTAATGACAATGGTTCTCAACTGGGACAGGTTGTAATAAATACAGGCGTAATGACATAATACAGCATAATGACTTAGGACTTTTGTGAGGTGACCTGCATATATGAAACACTTGTAAAAAGGAACCTTTGAGCGAGGTGCTCTGGATATACAGTTGTATGGGAGTTCCAGTGAATTTGTAGCCTTTATAGGCAAGATGTGGACATGTGTGGAATGACTGCATTATTGTGAGGTGTGTTCTCTCAGACTGTTGTGCTTTGGATAGACGCACAAATATTTAGCACTGCAGAGGTGTTCTACAGAAAGGTATAATAACAAAGTACCGTTTTAATTATTAGGTACCACAAACATTAAGGTAGGATTTAAGTGGAATGATGAGTAACCCTTTAGATGACCAGTTTGGAATAAAACATCATGGAGATGACTTTGGAAGTGACTGATGTTTTCATTTTGATGAGGTGCTTTGGACACAATAGTGCAGAATGATAGCCAGTCTATGAGAGTCAGTGATTATTATTACAAGGGATCTCACAGGTGTAAAAACTTACGCCTCACGAGTCATTCTCTAAGTAGGACTCTGTTATAAACATAGTAAGGGAAACCTCTATAGTTTATCTGATACAATAGAAACAGAAATCTGTGTCAGGTTGAATTCCCCTTCAATCAGTATAATGGTTACTTACTTATTATTCTTTGTCTTTTCTCGTCAGCCTTCTGCTTCCATTCCGGTTCGGCTTTCTTCTGTTCTGATGAGGCTAGAGATATCAAACAAGTTTAGTACTTAAAATTATACTTCTTTACATTAACAACCATTCATATGTATTCCAGTCTACATAATACATTTATTTCTCAGTCTTCATGCATAAATCACAGGCACTTGGGGGCTGGACCACCCTCTATAGTTTTAGATTGATACATTAAAAAAAGAGAGCTTCATCTCAGTCAAAAATGATACATATACACTGTTTATTTAAAAACAGCTTCTAAGAGACAAAAAAAAAATTGCATTATCATTAACATGTAGTGATTATTAGAATACAAAAATAAGAAAAAGGTGTGTCAATCTCAAATTTAAATAGAAAAAAATGGAAGAGGGTTCCGCCCCAATGGCCTGTGGCATAAGTAGACTGATAGAGGATAGATCAAGGACATTAACAATTCTGTTTGATGAGACAAACTTGGCTGGAGGCTTACACTATACATTTTAGAGTGTTGGAACATTAATCTGTGACTTACTTTTAAGAGGGGTGGAGGACTTCATGCCTTTCTTGGCTAATTCCTGTTTCCAGGGAGGAATACCTTTCTCTGAGTCTGCAGACTGTTTTACCTAGTGATCAAATAACATAGTGATCAAAATAATATAAAGATCAAAATAACATTATCTTAATAATAAAGTGATCAAAATAACATAGTGATCAAAATAATATAAAGATCAAAATAACATTATCTTAATAACATGGAGATCAAAATAACACTATCTTAACAAGAGCTGTTTGTAAAACACTTATGCCCCCCCCCCTCCCCCAAATTGGAATTTTTCCAAGTCCAAGGGGCATAACTCTATGAAAAATGGCACAATCGTACCCAAAACAGAACTTGACCTAGATATTCAGCTGATAAATCTGTTTACTAAATTTCATTTCAATATGTGCAACCTCTGCAAAGAAAATGAACGGAAACTGCAAATGAGTGGAATTTTTCTAAGTCCAAGGGGCATAACTCTGTCAAAAATGGCGTGATCGTACCCAAAACAGAACTTGGCCTAGATATTCACCTGATGTATCTGTATACCAAATTTCATTTCAGTATGTGCAACGGTTGTGAAGAAAATAAATGGAAACTAAATGGACAGACAGACCGACAGACAGCAGCAAAGCAATATCCCCTCCCTTCTTCGAAGGGGGGGAGGCATAATAATATAGTGATCAAAATAATATTATCTTAACAACATATTACATGGTGATCAAAATAACACTATCTTAACAATACAGTGATCATTTGGTCATTTATTATAAAATAATACTAACTAAATAATGAAGTGATCTAACAAAAAAAAATCCATAAGAATATATTGTACTGTAATGACATGTATAATAAATGACCATTTCAACATAATCAATAACAACAGAGAGATCAAAATAACAATGTTAAGGTCATAGAATTATGATAGTATTATTTCGCTCTCTTTGTTGTTATTGATTATGTTGAAATGGTCACTTATTAGAAAATAACACTAACTAAACAACAAAGTGATCTAAATAACAATACCATAATAAGAATATATTATACTATAAGGACAAGTATTATAATAAATGACTTTTTTAATGCACATCATAATAATAAAGAGATCAAATTAATAATCTTAATATTATAGTGATCAAAATAACACTATCTTAATAACAAAGAGCTAAATAATACTATCATAATGCTATCTTATCATTAGACTGAAAAAGTTACAATTGTGTTACCACCTACTTTCAGGTCAATTTTCAAAATTTATCAGAATCCAATGTGTTCTTTATATTTTATATAGATTATTGTACTTATATTGACTTTAAACTAAAAGATATAAAACAGATCACAAACACTTTGTGAGAATGCAGCAGTAAATCTATTTGGTTATAACCAAATAAATTAACTGCTGCAATCTCATGAAGTGTTGATCTGTTTTATATCTTTTAGTTTATAACTTTAGGTACGGACCCTTTTGAATACCTTTTGGTATCCACACGTGAGAATCTTCCGCAATTTTAACCTCAAGGTGTTGATCTCCAGCTTTTCTCTGTTTTATATTGACTTTTTATAGAAATTTTGTACATACGGGGTGTCGGAGCAGATATGTGTACTTATATCGACTTTTTATAGAAATCTTGTACATACAGGGGTGTCGGAGTCTCTATATACATACAGGGGTGTCGGAGTCTCTCCTGTTTTTTCGTTTCTCTGCTAGCGCCTTCTTCCAGTCCGGGGGTTCCTCGGAATTTGAGGACGGAGTCACAAAGTTCAGGTTAGGATTGGATTTATGATGCTTGTCCTTGGCCTTCAACCAACTTGGCACATAGTTTTCTCTCTGACCATCTGACGAAAAAAAGTACAAATATTGATTAACAATTTTAAACAATTTTCTCTTAATTTTGTATTACTAAATTACAATATATCTAACTTTTACAAATAGATATTATACAGAATATTTAAAGCAAACATGCTGAAAAGTGTCAGATTTGATATATCTTTATGTTTTAGAATACAAGTTAGATTTAAAAAATAAATATTCACCATGAAGAATGGAAAGAAACATTACTTTTTAAAAAATACAAGCTTATATTTTGGCATAGAAAAAGTTTCCAACATTCAAATACATGTAATACAATGTCTACCATTTTTGGCAGGAGTTCTCTCTCTTGATCTGCGGTCAATGTCCCCATTACTCTCCACTGAGCTGAGTCTCCTCCTGCCCTCCTCTTCATGGGAATGTGAATTATCATTATTCTCTTGCAATGGAGTGGAAGTTTTCTTCAGATTGTCCCGACTTAACCAAGACACATTACTTTCTGAGCTATTTTTTGTTTGATTTTCTAGAGATAGAAATACAATTTTATTACTTTGTATGGTTGTGCTTGATTGTAAAGTCAGATTTCAATTCCGAGAGTTCCAAAAATTCTACCATTCAAGTAAAACTGGAATCGGAATTAGTTCACAATATGCTGCAGCTCGACAAATAAAGAATTTCTTCCTATTAAATAATTTATTGTAAGACACAATGGAGGATGAAAGTGCGAATGAATGCTGTGAAGAACAGAATATCATGATGTTTGCTGTGTGCAGCTCGTAGGTGAACGTAACAATAAACATGATTTGAATAATATTATGAGAACCATATTAAATTTTAATTTGCAAAAAGGTCTATAGGACTGTATTAGGGTCCAAATACAGGGGAAAACTTTATACATGTTTTAATCGGCACTCTCGACAAATGTACGCAGTAGTCGCCATCTTCAATTCCGTTCACACCACCTCTCAAAATGGGATTGATAGAACTGCGCCGGAATTGAATTCTGGCGAACCTGATTGTAATTCCGCTAATTCCGAAAATTTAAGCTACCAATCAAGCACGCCCTATGATGTTCAGGATATGTATGAAAAAAAGTGAAAAATTTAAATAAAAGTGGGGAAAATACAAAGCCTCCATGCTTATATGTTGACAAATGCAAAAGGTCACAAACATATCAATACATGTACTGGTATATGAATCTGATATTTAAGGTAGCAAGGCTATGAAAAGTAGAGAAAATACAAATGGTGAGAAAGATTTCTTGTAGCATGCCAGCATCTATTGCCAGTTTACCTTTAGAGTTGAGAGTTTCCATGGCCTTTTCTCTCTTTTCATTGGCTGTCTGCAGCCATTCAGGTTTCTCCTTGGTTTCTCCTGCAGTGTTCATGTCCTCTGCTTGGCTCTTTGTTTTCCTCAACTTCATATTTTTCAACCATGATGGGGCTTCTTTGCTTTCTTCTGACTTTGGAATTTCTTTCTGAGGTGTAGACTTGAGGGATGGCCTTCGGATTGCTTCTGTTTCTGACTCTTGACCTGCCACGTTCCTCAGTGTCTGTGTAGGCCTCTGGTCCTTTGGTACCATTCTCAGAGCAGGCACGTCAAACCTGTGGTTCTCCTCATTACCATCCTCAGATATAGAAACCCTTTTCTCAGGCAGGGGAGGTTTGCCCACATTTCTCAGAGTGGGTTTCTCAAAAGATCCCGATTCCACAGACCCCTTTCTCTCTAATGGCCTTGACACATTTCGTAGAGCCGGCTTCTCAAACGATCCCGAGTCCTGTTGAGACGTTGTGTCCTCTTGTCTGTTTTTGTTGGCTCGTGGAGTTGGACGTAAAGCAGGCATAGCAAACGTTTTTGGTTCGGGAGTTTTGGGGGAAGTTGGGGTTGACTGTTTATCAGGTTTTGGGGTGGATCTTAAAGAGGATTTGTCATACACATTTTCACTCTCTTGATCACTTTTATTGCTTTCACTTCTCTCCCTTGAAACTTTATTTAAAGCTGGAATTTCAAACTTCATGTCTGATTCATTTGATTTTTCCACACTAGGTTTAGAAACATTCTTCAAAGCAGGCTTTTCAAATGTATTATCACTAGAAATAGTTCCTTTATTTTCATCTCTTTTCACTTGCCGTAAAGTAGGCTTCTCTACGAATTTGTCTGATTCTGTATCCGTTTTTGACACATTGTCTGTTTTTGCCACTGATTTCAATGACGACACATCATAATGTTTTTCTGGTTCCTGTCTCTCCACACTGTCTTTCCTGGGAACTTTCCTCAGAACAGGTTTGCTCAGGGTCTCTTCTGTGCTTTCACTTTCACTTTTCCTTGGCAGCTGAGGGACCGGTAATTTGACTCCGTAGCTTTTGTAGTCCTTCTTTTTGGGTTCGTCTACTGCCATTTCTGCTTCATGCTGCTCTTCAGATCTCCTCCTCAGCTCAGGCTATAAACCAAAATAATCAGTATATACTCTGTAATTACACTCAATTACCAAAACAATTTACTGTAAATTTTCACAACACTTAATCTATGTAACATGTTCATTAACTCTGAATTTGCAAAACAATAATTTCATGAATTATGGTTATTGTTCAATATAATCTTAAGAATTCCTAATTAATGCAAGAATGAAATTTTTGCAAGCACAATGCCTCGCATAAATATGCGAAAATAAAGTTCTTGTGAATAATAAGCGATTTACAGAATTTAAACTCCAAATACTGTAAAAGCAGAAATTTTGATGATAAGGACATGTTGATAAAATTGACAAATTTTTAATAATTGTCAAAGTTTCCACTTGTCAACTTTCACATTTCTGTTAAAGAGCAATGTTTACTACTGTAAAAGCATTAATATTCTTTGGGATTTATTTCATTCATATCATTACGTTAAATCTCTATATTTTATTTCTGTGTATATTCTTCTTGAATAAACATTTTCAAAAATTTATTTCATGTGTTACCACCAATCAAAATAAAATTGCCCCACCTTGGGTCCCCCGAAGCCTGGCAGTGGTACCAGGACTTTACTGGGCTTCTTGGCCGGAGGGGATGTGGGGACTCCCTCTACAGAAGAAGAGGAGGGGGACCTCTGACCAAACACCTCATCCTCACCCTTACTGTCCGCTCGCTCGGACTTAGGCTCTGTACAAAATATGTGGTCTTATAAAACTGCTGTACAGATAGGATTTAGTACAACCAATATCTTGAGGACAGACTATGTCAAGAGAAAAAGTAAATAAACATTTCAAATGTGAGAATTTATTATATTAATTCCTCAATTAAGTGTTTTCTTGTTTTTGGTTAACATTGAAGAAGTGAAACAAATATGTATATTTGCAACTTTTAAACTGTTCTTTTTTTAACCAAAAAAATTATAACATTGATAGAATAATAACTTTATAAACACATAGATTAAATAATATCCTCTTGTAAAGTTACCAGTAGAATCCTGGAACATTGCTTCCTCCCCTGAAAGGAGAGCACTCCTGACAGTTGAGCGGGTAGGTTTCCTCCTCTTGGCTAGTGATCCCTGTTTTCTAAGGTTTGTCTTTTGCTTTCCAATGTCTACATCTAAATGACTGCTATCAGGCTAAAATAAGAAATTTTCTCATGCTTATCTCTCAACAATGCCAAAAAATTAAGGCTAGTCAGGTTTTTGACACCTAATGCATAATCAAAAGGCTCACGTACTATACGTCAAGACCCTGACATCCATTCATCAAAGACAAGAAGAATATAATATAATGTCTGTCCTGTGATGTTCCAAGTATACATTTATACATAACTTGTATATTCACTCCAAATTCACTAGAGCAAGCTGTCATTGTTTACTGAATAATATTCTATGACTATGTCATGATTTTCTTCGTCTGTGTTTATTTATTAAACTTACATATGACATCATAATTTACAATGCTGATGATATATAAAAACAGCTCACCTCCAAAACAGAGAAATCTAGGCTCTCCTCTTTCTGAACTCTGATAACAACATCCTGTAAAGTAAAATTATAATGGAGTAAAAACATTTTAATATGCTGTTTGTTATCATACAATGTAATGGTCACATTTGATGCCAATCAGACAATACAATGTTTACAGATGGGAACCTTATTAATGACTTACGGGAGGAGGGCTGTGTTCTTCCTGTGGTACATCCGTATCCATGGTTTCTTCATTCTCCTGATCTTCGCTCTGTAACTCGAGACTCTGGCGGTACGATTTGGCCAGTGGTCTATTTCTGTCCACCATGGCATTAATGGTGGAATCAGACACAGTCTGCAATATTAAATGATTGTAACATTAAAGATTCAAATCTTCTCACTCAATATTGTTAGTGTCATTCCTTGTCTATGTAAGGGATAATGAAAACTTACACTATCATTAGTAATGTGACAAAATGCAAACATTCAGGCCACTCATGTTTGACAATCAATATCTAAATCTATCAACACAAGCACATTTTGAATCCTTACTAAACTATTATTTCTATCAGAATGCAAAAGCAAGAAGCAATGCACCAACCTCAGGCAGGAAGTCACATTCAGCGACCAACTTATCAATGTCTGGGTCTGAGTCATCGTGATCCAGTCCAGAAAACATGGTCAGGTCTTTAGGGTTCTCCCGTCTGTCCTCCTGATTGGCTGGTTTCTGATCTTCCATCTCTTCCTCCTCTATGCTTTCATCCTCCTCTCCCTCTATATCTTCTTCCTCCTCATCTTCCACCTCATCCTTCATATCATCTTCTTCTTCATCATCCTCCAGTTCCACCTTCCCGAGGAGTGTGTCATCTGTGCTGCTTTCTCCAAATGTTGGCAATATTAATTTTGAGGAATCATAAACTTCACCCTCTTCATTCCCAGTGGAAGAAACAAACTCCAGTTCCTTTGGCTCTTGTTCGTCTTCACTGTCACTGTGAATCCCAGGGTCTGTATTTCTCTCTGTCTCCTCCTGAGGCTCCTCTGGGGAAGATTTAGACACCTTAGGAAACTGAAACTGTTCCTCCTCCTGGTCTTTGTTTGGTGATGGCAAGGGGGAAGGCTTTTTGTCTTTTTGTTGGAAAGCCATGGCATTAAATGTGGCATCTGTAACTTTCTGAAATTCCAAGCAAACAACCTAGCTTCTACAATCACTCAATCAGACAATCTACAACCTCTCATATTTTCAATGTTACTCATGATTTGAAATGAAAATTAATTTATGAAATTCACTAGAGTTTGTTAGCTACACATGCTAGAGAATCAATATGCTTTGTTAAGAATACACCAATGTGTCAAAGAACAAGTCATATAATACATGGTGTAAATATGTATTAGAGCACTAACTTTTAATTTTTGATATATTTAGGAAAAAGGCTTGAAAAAATTACTACATCTAAAAAGAAATAAAAGAAAGCATAATATTCTGTAGATAATTATATTTTTTAAATCTATGCACACACCAACTTTTCTGCCTTGAGCAATAAGGTCCAGTCTCATTGTGTGAGAATGAGGCAACCGATAGAAATTGAATGCTGAAAAACTAGCCAATCAGTGTCAAGATTAGAGAATCACTAGTCAAATAATGGCCACTGTAAGACAAGATGACAAACCTCAGGCAGATGATCACAGTTTGTGAAGATGTCATCTATATCTGGTTCAAGGTCATCATCTAATCCGGTCAGTAAATCCTCAAAACTCTTCTCCATGCTCTGGACAAAACAGACACAAACTAGGTCATGCAGTCACATGCATCAAGATAACCCACTCTATACTAATGTGGATGTTATGTTTACATAAAAGAAAAAAAAAAGTGTTCTAACTTCCATATTTTACAAATGTAACACTGATTTTCTTGTAGAAAAGTAAAGCTGAATATATTTATTGTTCTCAAATACTTATGCTAAAGCTAGTCTTTAACTTTTTTCCTGCTTGGTACAACTTCTTTTCTTTAATAATATTTCCAAAAACAATCTGATCTCAATACCCATGACCTAATGCAAGGTCTGTGACTTTTACAAGAACTTAGATGTGTAGTTCCTAAGTTTCAGTCACTTAAGTTAACTGTAAGTTGGGGAAGACATGTACAGTCAAACCAAAAACAACTGTAGAGTTTTACAATATCATTGCTATCCCTTTTCAACACTATGCTATCAAAAGTATTGTTTATATCTGTATATCAAATGAATTCTCAAAACTGATTCAGCACCAACAAATTTTAAAATGCAGTGTATAAAGTTTTAAAAAAAAAATACATGGGAATCAATACCAATAGTTAAATATATAAGTATGTATATAATACACAGTGAATAATTGGAGAGAAAAAAAGCTGTGTATCAGAATTCTGTAAATAAGGCCTTCCTGCATTCAAAGGTTCACCTAAAGTTTATAGTTATTTAAAATTTATGAAGAGTTTTTGTTTTTTCATAAGTGTATATATATGAGATAAATAATGATACTCTACAATTTCAATTAAAATTACAATGTACAACCAAATCAGAACAGCAGAAATGGCCCCATTATTTTGTAATATGAATTATAAGTTAAATTGAATTAATCAGAATAGATAACATATTATACAGTGTATATGTATAATTGTATATACAATATAAGAAATTTTATGAAGATCTGACAAAAACTGAGGCAGTGTAAAAGATATGTAAGCAGACCTATATCAGTTTAAGCTTACTCTGTTGAGCTGTGCCCTTCGCTGTTCAGCCATTTTCACTATCCTTAGCTTAGTGGGAAGTCGGATATAAATAGACACACCAGCCTCATGTGACCTTGATGACTGGCTTTGACCTTGTGACTCAAGGTCTCCAGATGATCCTGCTTGTAGTCTACTTTCCTTTTCTCTCTGTAAAATAAAAATCACAGATTGAGAGGACAAGTGAATCATCCACAACAGGTCCTTTATCGATCAGTGTTTCAATCTCCTCTCAGCTTTCATTGTCCATCTTCTCATTGAACAACAATGTCAGCTCTTACGGTTGTTGCACAATGTTACAAACTTACATATAGACAACAACACTAAAAAACATCTTATAATACCTTCTTATGTGTCTTCAAGGTTGAATGATTAATGGAACTGTTGACAAGCCATAATTAAATTTTTGTCACACACCACCTTAAACAAGAAATCACTGAAGCAGAGACTCTTATAAACAGATCCCTGTAACTGAAGCAGCCACTTCACTTTCGTCTTCTGTTAGTTAAGAATAATATTGATTTCTGTGTTAGGGACACGTCAGTGTGAACTGACTCATTCCATATTTTATGCCTGACATTAAAATATATCTACAATGATTATATTAATATAATAGCTGTTATCTTACACCGTAACACTAATCGTTTATCACCTTGACGCTGAAACCAAAATCTCCTTCAAGGTTTTCATTTACATGTTACCAAGTAGAGGTCTTTTATGCATTAATGTGAATTCTTTAAATAAATCAACTTTATTTTTTAAGTTTTTGAAACTTCAAATTAATTTCATAAATGTATACTGAGCAAAATAAGTTTAGCAATTGTTTTTCCATAGGTATAATTTTAAAAATATTTTTTGACATTGTTTTATTCTATTTCTACTAAAAATCAATATAGAAAAAGGTAACAAAAGACACACTTCTTTTTTCAACTTGACGCGCGGAAACTGCGTCGTCCAACGTTGTGACAATTCAACAATACAATAGGTTATGCTCGAACGCACATAGTCCTGGAAGAATTTTTTACTTAAAAAGCCCTTTGAGCACGCTTGTAAAAGAAAAACCAGTGAAAAATTGGAAAAACGTCATATTGGGAAACGTGCAGGATTTTAAAAAAATAAACGTTGAATGACTATAGAGATGCTAACGCCGATTCCTTAAAAAAAGATGTTGCTGAACACTTTTCTAGTGCATCCGTTCAAAATATGTCGACTTTTAAACCGATCCCGGACCACTTGACATATTACTGGTCGTCAGCGCTCAGGACGTCCACGAAAAACGACGGTTAGGCAAAATCGTTTTACTGTTACAACGTCGAGACGTAACCGTTTCATGTCTGCTTCTAAAGTTGCTGACGAATTATGCCATGCAACTGGACTGAGGTTATGTGGACAAAGTGTATTTAAACCAGCAAGGTTTAGCAAATCTTCGAGCTCGAAAACCTCTCACAGCAGTATTACTAACTCAACGTCATGGACAATCCCGCCTCGCATGGACAATGCCCGTCCGCATACCGCACGACACACAAGCTGTCCTTTATCAGAATGATGTTAAGATGTTTGATTGGCTTGCGAGATTGCCAGATTTGTCACCAATAGAACACGTTTGGGACATTCATGGTCGTCGTTTAAGACAACGGCATAACGTCAACAACGTAGCGGAGCTGACCTTTGCACTGCAGCAGGAGTGGAAGCAGATCACCATGCTTGAGATACAACACCTTATAAGGAGCATGAGACGCCGTTGTGTTGTTGATATTGCTGTAATTGGAAGCCTTACACAATGTTGAAATTAAATGTGACTATTCAAACCCGTATCCGTGATCAGTTTCACGATATTTCTTACAAAACAGCACACAATTGTCGATAAAATTTCCCTAATTTTGTTATGTGATGACAAGCTCATATCACAATTTAATTGTAAGTGCTGTATCTATTTATTTTTACTTTGTTTTATAATAAATATCTTAAATTGCTAAACTTATTTTGCTCAGTATATCAATTTATAAATCAGTGTTAGAAAATGAATGCATTTGTCATGATGTTTAAAGGAATGGATTACCTAACATTTTTTTTATAACTATAATAAATGTTTGTTTCCTTACATCACCAGATCACCAAACCACATCTTCATCATCTTACTGCAATATGTAGACAAATGGGGAGTCTTCAGAGTACTTGGAATTGCAAAATTTTCACCACACTGAAATGCTACAATAATATATCAACAATGCTCTGTGATCTTAGGGTGACTGCATTTCTGAAACTGTAGGATTAGCATCAAGTGATGAATACCAAAATACAATGGGAGGGATAAAAGACACTTAAAAATGAAATAAAAACAAGAAAGAAACAAAGATGATAAGGAATTAGGTCAAGTTTTAATTTCATTGTATTTGATTTGGCCAGGACCTTAGTACATGACCTTGACCTTAAATGACACGAGTAGTCTTCATCATTTACAAAATATAGTTTACCTATTATATGTAACTAAAAATACCAAGTTTCACTTAGATAAAGAAAAAGATGATAAAGGTCCAAGATAAAGATGCGCTCTTTACTATTAAAAAACTTTGAAGTTGTTTTATCAAGTTCATACTGACTGTACATGAAGTATGAAAAATAAAGTAGACTTGCATCCAAGAATTAGATGACAATTAACTACTAATATAACTGAAGGAGTGCGTATGTTAATTGGCAATGTAAAATTTTTCAAAATGACAATTCAAGTCAAAAAACTACAATACAGAGTGGAAATACTAGCTAGTAGTCAGCATCACCTGCCTGCCTGACTCTCAGCTATACCAGTCAGTGTACAGAATACAGATAATGATCTCAGCTTAAGGACGACAGACAAAGTCAGTAGACAGTGAAACCTGACCTTGCCATACCGTCGGGACCGTCAACCTCAGACATAAGTCAGACCACAGAGTACTCAACAAACACTACCACTGACAGTTAGTGAGGGCCCGCTATAATCACTGCAAATTATCCTGTCTATATGTGTATAAATTCATCACATCGACTCTAAATTTACAAACAAACTTACAATAAAGTCAGATTTATTCAACTACTTTTTTTCGTGGTCAGTGACTGCTTGCTATAGGAAGTCTGGCATAAAAAGTATACAAAGCATGTCATTAAGGGAACCTATAATGGCTTCCTATTTACTTTGTGAGGTGACGGTAATTGGATTTTTAAGTAACCTGGATAGTATCAAAGAATAAATGAAACTTTTTTGAACTGTCATTATAACAGGATTTCCTTTTACTGCGTGGAAAATAATTGAATTTCAAAATGGGTACATATCACTATCAGAGAGTATTAAATTACTCCACTTCACTTTCAGAAAAGCATTCATATAATAGACTTTGGGATTTTTTTTTAAATACGCTAAAAAAACTTTTCATATGCCAGAGAGACACTTCTTCATAAAGTCTATTATCACTGAGAAACTGCATCACAGCAATAAACAAAATACAAACCTAAGTGCATCAATGCTGAATTATAACAATTAACTCCTATTCCTCTCTCTATTGCCATCATCTGATCTATCCCTTTCTCTATTGCCATCATCTGATCCATCCCTCACTCTATTGCTGTCTCCTGACCTATCCCTCACTCTATTGCTGTCTCCTGACCTATCCCTCCCTCTATTGCCATCTCGTGAACTATCCCTCTCTCTATTGCCATCATCTGATATATCCCTCACTCTATTGCCATCATCTGATATATCCCTCACTCTATTGCCATCATCTGATCTATCCCTCCCTCTATTGCCATCATCTGACTTATCCCTCTCTCTATTGCCATCTCCTGAACTATCCCTCTCTCTATTGCCATCTCCTGAACTATCCCTCCCTCTATTGCCATCTCCTGACTTATCCCTCTCTCTATTGCCATCTCCTGACTTATCCCTCTCTCTATTGCCATCATCTGATCTATCCCTCCCTCTATTGCATCTCCTGAACTATCCCTCTCTCTATTGCCATCTCCTGACTTATCCCTCCCTCTATTGCCATCATCTGATCTATCCCTCCCTCTATTGCATCTCCTGAACTATCCCTCTTTCTATTGCCATCTCCTGACCTATCCCTCCCTCTATTGTCATCATCTGACCTATCCCTCCCTCTATTGCCATCATCTAACTCATCCCTCGCTCTATTGCCATCTCCTGATCTATCCCTCCCTCTATTGTCATCATCTGACCTATCCCTCCCTCTATTGCCATCATCTAACTCATCCCTCGCTCTATTGCCATCTCCTGACCTATCTCTCCCTCTATCGCCATCTCCTGACTTATCCCTCCCTCTACTGTCATCTCCTGACTTATCCCTCCCTCTATTGCCATCTCCTGACTTATCCTTCCCTTTATTGTCATCGCTGATCTATACCTTGATTTCAAAAAGTTTTCATTCAATAGGTTACCACTGTCGTTCACATCCAGTGTATCTTTCTAGACTACCATATATTCATCTCATCTATTTAACCTGTTCCTTCAAATTTTCTCATATTAAGTGCAATCCATGCAAAACTAACAACTTTAAAAATAAAGTATAAGAACATTCAGTTTCACAATGAAATGATGACAGGAACTGCTTACCTACAAACAAATTGAATTCTTCTTGGTATTTCATGAAATATTGCATTAAAAAATATTTGGCAATTTAGAGACTATTTTACATAACAAAGATATTATTGGAGCACATTAAAGGTCTTTAAAGTGGCAACATTAAAATGCAACTCATAAAAATTCCTGACCACTTACACCAAAACATATCTTTGATCCCCCTGTGAGTTTTATAACTAAGTCTCCCCTGCCCAGGGGTGGGGTTATAGTAGTCTGAGTTATGTTGTCCATCACTAGGGTTGTGCAGTCACATTACAGTTGTCTACATATTATTTTTTTTACATGTTCTGTACAGGAAAGACGTGTCTATGCACAGGAAAAAGGATATTTGTTTTCTGGCTCCCTATGTTTCTATTTATGAGTATCTTGTCTGATGCACTTGACATCGCTTACTAAAAGGACATAAAAATGATTTTTTTCATAATCATGTTAAAGCAAAACTGCAAAATGATACTTTGAGACTGATTTACTCCTTAATTTCTTACAAGTATAAACCCGAGTTGTTACATCACACCAAAGTGTTCACATGTAGATTGACTAATGAACAAAGTGATAATTATATACACCACTAGATGACACACCATCCACAAGTTGTAAAATGTCAGAGTACAACTTAGATTTGTTCTCCAAAAAATACACCCTCCAGAATATGTAATGTGTAACCAGTCAAATATAAATCAAGCAGTATGTCTTAACATTTACCAAAATTATATATACATTTTTAAATATGTTCATCACTGTACATATTTTTATAAAAATAATACAAGCTGCATGACTGAGTGTTGTACAGCATTTTATATATCAAAATAGAATTATTAAAATGATGTATATCATATAATTCCATAAAATCTATATTTCTAGTAGACTTACATTCAAGCATCATTAAAACATTCCTTTATATATTTCACTGTAGTTTTTATGAGGACAGTCCACCACTTAGTATGGATGT